AAAAGAAAGAGATGTATGGAGAATTAACTCTCCAAGTAAACTCCATGTTCTAAAAGATGTTCATCAATCTGTAAATATCTTTTCTCAGCTGCAATTTAAAGTTATACCTGACTTATCACTGGCATTAACGTTAGCACCATGATTTAAAAGTAATTGAGCAATTTCTGTATTTCCAATCGCATCGTGAAGCGGAGTTGTGCCATCCAGAATTTCAGGATTAACGTTAGCACCTCTGTCCAACAGCATCTTAACACCACTTACATGTCTTTTTCGAACAGCGAGACACAGTGCTGTAACACCTGAAAAGGAAAAGATGTATGTAGAAGTAACTCTCCAATTAAACTTAATGTTCTAAAAGATGTTCATCAATCTGTAAATATCTTTTCTCAGCTGCAATATAAAGGTATACCGTATGTATCACTAAGGGCATTAACGTTAGCTCCATGATTTAATAGTAATTCAAAAATTTCCATTTTCTCATGTTTAATCGCATAGTGTAGCGGAGATATGCCATCCAAAATTTCAAGATTAACGTTAGCACCTCTGTCCAACAGCATCTTAACACCACGTACATGTCCTTTTTGAACAGCGAGACACATTGGAGTAACACCTGAAAAGGAAAAGATGTATGTAGGATTAACTTTCCAATTAAACTTAATGTACTAAAAGCTGTTCATCAATCTGTAAATATCTTTTCTCAGCTGCAATATAAAGGTATACCGTATGTATCACTGGCATTGACGTTAGCTCCATAATTTAATAGTAATTCAGCAATGTCTACTTCCTTATTTTCAATCGCATAGTTAAGCGGAGTTGTGCCATTCCGAGTTTCAGCATTAACGTTAGCACCTTTGTCCAAAAGCATCTGAACACCACTTACATGTCTTTTTCGAACAGCGAGACACAGTGGTGTAACACCTGAAAAAGAAGAGATATATGTAGAATTAACTCTCCAATTAAACTTAATGTTCTAAAAGATGTTCATCAATCTGTAAATATCTATTCTCAGCTGCAATTTAAAGTTATACCTGACTTATCACTAGCATTAATGTTAGCTCCATGATTTAATAGTAATTCAGCAATTTCTATTTCCTTATTTTCCATCGCATCATGAAGCAGAGTTGTACTAGACCACTGATTTTGATGATTAACGTTAGCACCTCTGTCTAACAGCATTGTAACACCACCTACATGTCCTCTTTGAATAGCAAAATAAAGTGGTGTAACACCTGGAGTAAAGGAAGAGATATATGTAGAATTAACATAAACTCCTTGTTGTAAAAAATGGTCATCAATCTGTCAATATTCTTTCTCAGCTGCAAAGAAAAGAGGAGTTATACCGTTATTGTTACGGGCGTTAACGTTAGCTCCATGATTTAAAAGTAATTCAGTAATTTGTATTTCCTTATTTTCCATCGCATCGTGAAGCATAGTTGTGCCATCCCAAGATTTAGCATTAACGTTAGCACCTCTTTCAAGAAGCATTTTAACAAATTGTTCATGTCCTTTTTTAACAGCAAGATGTAGTGGTGTAACATCTGGTGTAAATGTAGATATATATGTAAAATTAACCTAAACTCCATGTTTTAAAAAATGTTCACAAAATTTATATATATAATTTCTCAAGTGCAATATAGTTATACCTGACTTTTTATTAAGGTTAGCTCCATGATTTAAAAGTAATTCAGCAATTTTCATTTTCTCATATTCAATCGCATAGTGAAGCGAAATTCTGCCAGACCACGGAATTTCAGCATTAACGTTAGCACCTCTGTCAAGAAACATCTTAACTCCATTTACATGTCCTTTTTGAACAGCAAGACACAGTGGTGAAATACCTGAAAAAGAAGAGATGTATGTAGAATTAACTCTCCAATTAAACTTAATGTTCTAAAAGACGTTCATCAATCTCTCTGTAAATATATTTTCTCAGCTCCAATATAAAGTTATACCTGACTTATCACTAGCATTAATGTTAGCTCCATGATTTAATAGTAATTCAGCAATTTCTATTTCCTTATTTTCCATTGC